AGATAGATATTCAGATAGATAGATAGATAGATAGATAGATAGATAATTAACCAGATAGATATTTGATATTCGATATTAGATAGATAGATATAAAAAAACCTAACAAAAATGACAAAAACAAAAAACAAAATCACAAACTTTAAATTAACGTCAGTTGGAATGAATGCAGTCTGATTTTAAGCATATCTAGTGCTGAAGTTGGAAATATGCTGTTGATTCTGCACTGAAAGCAAAGATGATAAACGCTCGGAGAGAGAGGAATGCTCTTGTGTTTAGAGAGTTTGGACCGATCAGACGCTCTCAGAGTGAAGAATGTGCTGTCTCTGAGAAAGAGCAAAGTGATTATCATGTACAGTAGGCCCTGCAATTATTTTAATATTTTAAAGTAATTCAAGGTCATTCAAACAATGAGATATGAGTTTCCAAACACTTTTCAAAAAGTCTGAATAATGTGAGTAAACAGAATATTTACTTGGATCAAACAGGAATCATATTTGTACATATTTGCATACTATGAAGAGACTGTCAACCTCTCTGTTCTCTGTTCGTGAAGCTGAGTATCATCTGCGAGTCTCAGGTCAGCAGACATGAGCTTCTCTCTTCATCTTACTGGAGGATTGAGCGCGAGCTCGTCTCTCACGAGGCGTAATCACAGATAACGAGCGCTCAAGTTTTTGCGCCTCAGACGGTTACTTAAGGATTTGTAGTTTTCAAGAAGGTTCAAGTGGTTGAATTTTCACTTGAGAGCAGATTGAAATATTCTGCTACCTATTATTACTCCAGCTTCTCCATTTGCACTCTTTAATATGAAAAGCTCTTATTTAATGCAGCATTATGTTAAGAATCAGAAACTTGAAAACCTTATTCCTCAGTGTAAGAGCTGATAAACCTCTTAAATGTTAAATGATAAACATCCTATGTTGCTGCTGCTTTGATATCAAGACAACAATATTTTAAGACCTATATATATATATATATATGGGCTGTCAATATGAACGTGTTAATTGTGCAATTATCTATTATTTATTTATATATTATTTATTTAATGATATTAAATAATATTGTGTAATTTTATGGAATATGTATTATATATTATGTATTATGTTTCTATCTATCTCTCTATATAAATGTAGATTATGTAAGGCTAATAATAATTAGAATACTATAATTTATAAATACTATATTGTAATACTATGCTGTAAGTTGTAAATATATATTTTATATATTATTATAAAATATATTTATTATAATATAAATACAATTTATCATGTATTTATTATAAAATATATTTTATATATTTAATATATTATAATATTTATATATATTTGTTCAAATTATATTGTATTACTTTTGAATTTTATATATATATATATATACACACACACACTTAGTGTATATTTCTTATTAGTGTATGTATATATACATGCACTAATAAGAAATACTAATAATACATACAAATTCTAATAAAAAATGTTTTTGGTGCATTCAATGAAAGTCTCTGTAAATGGTATGTAATGTTGTTTTGGACTTTGATTTTATATACAAAAACGTAAAAAAAAATATATATATGTTCCACAGAAGAATGTTAGTCATTCAGGTCTGAAACGATACACAGATGAATAAATGATGACAGAATTGACATATTTGGGTAGTTAAGTAGCTATATTTCAGTTGAAATGCTATTTCATTAACCTGATGCACCTGCTGTGTACTTGAATATTGTTCATAATCATATTCAATCTTAATAAAGTTAATATTAATTAAACTGTTATTTGTAAAAGACACACATGGACGTTGCCAGAGAAACAAACAATCTCTGAGTGTGGTTCAGAGCCGTAATTACAGTAATTCTGACACGACGTGAACACAGCATTAAATATTCATCGAAAACCTATTGGCGTTACGAAGGGCAATTTTACTTGAGTTCTAGAGCCTTTTGAATTTCTATTAGAATTCAGGTGTAATTTACCATCACAGAAGGAGTCATACAGCACGTCATGTCTGCATGATTGAATAAACATTTTATTGAGGCACATCATGCGGTCCAGTGCATGGAAATCAAACGGAAGCACCGCTGCTCATGTTCTTTACCATGTGTTTATGTCAGGAGCGTGAAGTGATGCGGGACAGACGCGGCCTCCGGCGTCAGCAGGTTACACCGCACATCCACACTCTTCAGAGCAGGCATCAGAGACAGCTTCTCCATCGGCAGCTCTGAGAGAGAGAGAGACAGAGAGACAGAGAGACACATCAGACCTGTGCAGCATCGGCCCTTCAGGTTTGGAGAGATGTTGCTCTCACAAAAGTTGAACAAAAGTTTCCTTCATTATGAAAACCACTGTAAAACAAGTAATACAGAGAGATCAGATACAGACCCAAGATAGGCTGTGATTCATTTCTCATAAACTAAATCATGCACTTGGTATTTTGTTTCTCATTAACAAGTTTTAAACGTGACTGAATAAAAAGTACAGATCAGATTAGATTGCAACATTGGATTTAATGCATTTAGCAAACAGATTTTGCAGTATAAAAGGTCATGTTTATTACACTTTAAAAATAACACTATCGGGTCTTTCCCTTCACTAAAAACACATAAAATAATGCTTATTTTTAACATTTATTCTCCTTATCGTCCTATGCAAAGCATGCTGGGAACTAAATACTAAAAAACAAATACTATAATATAGAAATACTAATATTTTTGTGCATACAATGAAAGTCAATGGTGTATAATGCTGTTTTGGACTTTGATTATATAGACGAAATCTATAATTTATATATACATATTCATTATAATAAAAACATATGATATATATATATATATATATATACTGTAGATGCACTGAATTATTTTTTAGAGAGTTCTACTTTGTGATCAACATGAGTCAATGCAGTATTTGTTTACAGTATTTATTAATCTTTGTTTATGTTAGTTTACAATGTAAAATACAATGTTAGTTCATGTCAGCTCATGTCTATGAAATAATATAAAAAATAATTGATTTTAATAATGTATTAGTAAATATTAAAATGAACATTAACTAAGATTAGATTATTAAATGCTTTAAAAGTATTTTTAACTGGTTAACTACATTATGAACGAACAATGTTACCAAATGAAGCCTTATTGTAAAGTGTTGCCGTTTTTATTTTACATGAAACAACGATCACATGACCAGTTGAATACTAAGGACTTTATACTGTATATCTATATCTATATTATACCATTTTTCTTCAGGGGCAAATCTCACAAACACTTTAAAGGTTCTGTAGGCAAAAAAACACAGACTTAAAGCCCAAAAGAGGCTGTGAACTAAACCAAACACAGAAGAGGTGCGAGATCAAAGGATCAAATTACCACACAGAGAGGAAAACAGAAAGAAAGTGAATTCTAGAGGAGACAGAAATGCTTAAAATGTATCCTGTGCCTTAAACGCAGTTAAGAAACTGAATGAAAGCATCTGCTAAAATGCATGAATGCAATGCAGCTGCACATAATGAGCGCTCGTGTGTTCCTATTGGTGTAGAATGGGAGTGGGAGGAGCCTAATCAATCAAGTGACCAGAGACACGCCCACAACACTGTGCCTCTCAAAACAAACCAGAACGCTTGCTGCTCAGAAGTAATCAAGTGCTGATTGTAAGTAAACGAGGTAGGTTAAAGCCATATTCATTTCCACGGTTCTCTTGAAAATTGCAATTTTTATTATTAAATTCCTAATGTTTTCTATGACTCTAAAACAGTGAATTTTCAACTAGTTTCTGGGCTATCATTGATAATTTTATATCCAAAAGAGTAAAACACTGTGACTCTTTTAGAACACTGATCTGTTTGTTTGAGTGGCCCGACTCAACCAATCACGTGAGTTTGGGGGCGGGACTATCTGTTTGACTGACCAATGACTGTTATGGAAACCTGTTGGGAAACACTCATTATTTTGTAATTGTGTTTAGTGACACTAGTGAAGCAGAAACGGCCCACTTCCGCTTTAAAACCTGTTACCGAAGCCCTGAACTCTGAAGGGATGCCTGAAATGAGAGCGTGATGTGCTTCTCTGTGTGTGTTTAGCATGTGCTGTTCTCCACCGTGTTGCTTGTTGATGTTATTATGTTGTATTGAGACGGACCGCACTTATGTGAGATTGTTACTCCGCTCTACGAGACGCTTTCATCTTCTGTAGCCGTCAGATAATCACAAAGCAAAAACACTGTCATGGAAATGATGCTCTGGGTTTTATTCGTATGAAGTATTATGGAAATGTTTGTGAATTGATATTGAAATTGGAGATGTTCTGTTCCTGGTTCAGTTATATCTGCTGGCTACTGTAAAGCTGTATGAAATACATTACTAGCTCTAAATAAGCATTTAGCATTTTAATAAACATCACATACAGGCTGGGAAGAGATCAAAAGTGACAGTACAGACTTTATAATGTTAGAAAAGATTGTGCACCACAGTCAATTATTAATTCAAACATACATTTTTCAATAGATCCAGAAGCACTGCGTGGGTTTAAATTGTGTTGACAGCAATGAAATAATAATAGATGGATCATGATTCACTGTGACATTTTCTTTGCTGCCACACTTTCTGAACTTTCTATCTAATTCTAAACCTCTCTGAGAGTGTCGCCGCATTTCTGTCTCAAACCTTCTGAATGTTTCACATCTACAGATTAATTTCTCTTTCTGCACGACCCACAGCGCCGTCCGTCTGAAAAACAATATACACTTCGTTTGAGAAGAAATTTTGCCTTTTTGACAACTTTGGTTGGTTTGAAAGCCATTAAGTTCTTTTTGTTTTGCATTGTGACGTTATGGTCATGAGAATCAAGCACAAGCTCATTAATGTAATGCAAAAAAAAAAATATTATTTGAATTGTAATTATATATGATGATGCATTTGTCTCGCAGCCCTTTAATTAACTAAATGAAAATTTTAAATATTTTATTTCAGTTTAGGTTTATTTTATTTCAAGTAGCAAAAATGGTTTCATAGTTTTAATTTTAGATCTATTTAATTTTAGATTAATTTTTTTATCTAAGAATTAGGATCTCAAAAGAATTTTGAGAATTACAAAAAAATGTGAAAATAAAGCATCAGATTATTTTCTTTAAATACTTACTGACAGTTTGAGGAGAAATGTGCTTAATGATCATGAGAATAATATCACAAATGCAAAAGATGTTAATTGGGCCTAAAACAAATTTTGTGTCAAATTTAATTTAATTATTGTGTGATTTAGAGGTGAAGTGCGACCCACACGTTCCTGAGATTCATCCATTAGCATTCATGTTTGCAGATTATGCTGCCATACTTTTCAGATCTCATTGCTCTCTCACGCTGTGTTTTGATGAACACTATCATGCATAAAGTGAGTGTGTGTGAGTGAGAGTGAGAGTGTGAGTGTGAGTGTGTGTGAGTGAGAGTGAGAGTGTGAGTGTGTGTGAGTGAGAGTGAGAGTGTGAGTGTGTGTG